CCATGAATGTTGTACATGTATATAGCATTTCATGCATTAAATGCGGGAAACTTTATATTGGTTCTACAGTTCGTCGATTGGGTGATCGGTTTGCTGAGCATCTACGGCAAACTAGACAGAAAAATCGTTATTATCCAGTTTCACTTCATTTTAATTCTAGTGGACATAATATTACAGATATGTCTATTTCTGGTGTATGTGTTGTCAATGGCAACGAAAATCAGCTCAGGCGTGTCGAGGAGGAAACTATATTCCGCCTTGGTATTAACAAACAGTTCAACTCATTTGTTGAGCTCACTACCTAAGACGCGTTATTTGTTCTATTGTGGATTTTTTGTGATTCTAACTTATAGTTCATGCGCGTTCTTACGTTCCTATGTTCTACCTGTACGTTATAACACTTTCTTCCCTGCTATCGATAAAGAGCCATTGCTCGAAACGTCTAGCTATTTTTAATAGTTATTTAGGACTACGATTACCAAATATTATCTTCTATATATCATATTTATCAGTCCGAGCAGCGTTTATTTATTTATAAACTACTATTATGAAATCAACAAACAGTTCAACTCATTTGTTGAGCTCACTACCTAAGGCGCGTTATTTGTTCTATTGTGGATTTTTTAGTGATTCTAATTGATGGTTCATGCGCGTTCTTACGTTCCTATGTTCTACCTGTACATTTTAACATTTTCTTCTATGCTATCGATAAACATGTAGCTATTTTTAATATTTATTTAGGACTACGATTACCAAATATTATGTCTCGTCTACCGCTTGTTTTATCCCTAGTGTACTTTCTTGCAGTATATGTTCGTAGTGAAATGTACGAACAACCGCCTCCCAATCTGCCATTGGATGACCCAAGTCCTGACGTACCCGATAACGACGATGTTTACGAAGTGGATGGTGGAATCGATAAGCGTAGCGCAAGTATGAATCTTGTTTTTTTATGTGTCATTGGGTTTCATATTGCGCCTTTCCCTCAGTAAATGAAAACGATTCAAATGAGTATCATTCCTTCAAAACAGGCGAAATCTGCGTATTATTTTCAATTAGTTTAACAAATAAAATTGTTCATATATCTTTGCATGGTACCATAAAATGACATTTAGATACATACATGGCACAAATCATGTTTTGCCATGACCCAGCCAATCTACCATCAGTATATTGCACGTGTATTGGCTTAAAATTATGGTTATAAGCATACTCGCTTTCCCTAAATTTATTTTGTTCCTGATCTACTAGGATCCGAATTTCTAGCGGATCAATGAAAAACTTGTTATTTTGTACTTAAAAATAACAGGAAAAAAAATTGGTGTAATTGTAAGCCGACACAGAACCCACCCAATTTGTGTCACAAAAATATAAGATGATTTGATGATTTTGACACGTTTTAAGTATGCATTTTTATATGTGAATAAAACGTCCAACGCGATTCTAAATACTTCGAAAGTAAGATCACAACCGCAGAACAGGATATTACCAAGGAACAAAACATTATTTTCCAACCGACTGATGACTGCCAACTTATTGGTTCGTATAGGTATGGTAGCTGACGTTTATTTTACATAAAATATATTAGTCCAATACAGTAAATTTAAATTGTTGGTAGTTAAAATGGATAACCGACGACTAAATCTTACGGTCGGAAAAGAATATATGGTGGCTTTCGTACGCAGTACCACCGCTAATTACGTATCCCTGTTTTACCTTCCTGCAGTACATGTTCGTAGAAAATTGTACGAGAAACCGCCTCCCAACCTGCCCAAGGATGACCTAAGTCCCGATGTACCTGATAATGACGACATTTACAATGTGGACGGTGAAATCGATAAGCGTAGTACAGGTATGGGTCGTTTAATATACGAGTCACCATGGCTGTTCTCTAAACACATTCTGGCCAAAAAAAACACGACCTCAAAACCGGTTTCATCATTTGAATACTCATCGAGCGACTCGACTCTTCATAAGTTTTGCCCAATTTTTATACATTGACAGATAATTCAGAAGGACAATCAAATTGATATGTCGTATAAAATTGTTTATTGTCCTTCTAGGTTTCGATTATGCTGATGCTCTGTCGGCGTCAGTGGAGTTCTTCGAAGCCCAGCGTTCAGGGCCAGTGCCCGAAAACGGACGAGTGCAATGGCGTAAACCAGATGTTGCACAGTATGACAAGGGTGTGAACGGAGAAGACCTTAGCGGGGGCATGTATGATGGTACGTTGTATTCAGTTTACCCACATACACAAATCATCATGAACGAATTGACCTATTAATTCACGCGTACTATGTACGTGTACTATAGAAATTCATGATTTAGTTCTCTGTATTAAAGCGCGGCAGTCGTCGCGCTGTGCATGTGCGACATTTGTTTTTCCCACAATCCAATGCACTCTTCTAATGGAAATCACAAGTATGAGGTTGTGCCTGGGTGCTAATTTCACTAATTACCACCGGTCACTCCTTGGATACGTCCAGCCACCTAAAATACCCAATTAAAGCTTCGTAACGTCCCAATTTGTACTCTTTGATTTGTGCAACAGTCAACGCCATATTTGTTTATATGAGACCCATATATCTCGCGCATGCGTGGCGCGACGACTACCGCCCTTTAAACTAAATAACTTCAATAATCCGTTACATACATATTTTACATAAAAAAGAACTTCATTACGTCACATTGAAATAAGACAAGCCAATTCATGTAACTTGATTTAATTGTATGATAAAGAAAAACAACAAAATATGTATATGATGTCATCATTCAGCGCGTTCAGCAACTGATTTTCAAATATCAGCCCTAAATAATGATATTCTTGATGCGCTCAAAGTAACAACTTTCGCTTATATTTTACCAGACCTGATGATCCATCCAAACAGTAATTCAATTCTACAGCACATTCAGTTATTAGCGCGCACTAATCCTTCTATTCCGTTTATCTGTTTCACAGCTTTTACACACGCAATGAAACTAGGAAACCGTAAGAAGAACAAAAAACAGACTATATTTAAAATAAAATTATTATCACTGAATAAGAAGCGCGAATTTTAAACAAATACACAATTTCATTAACTGGATTTAAAATAATGAAAAGACACAATTTATTTTGTTTCTAAATTTAGCTGGTGATCACATCAAGTTCAACCTTCCAATGGCCTGGACTACAACTATGCTCGCATGGAGTTACATCGAATTTGAAGATGCGTATATTGATGCAGGGGAAGACAAAAACACCAGGGACCTTTTAAAATGGAATTGTGACTATTTCATAAAGTGTCATCCCAGTCCTGATGTGTTTTATTATCAGGTGAGGCAGTCAGTTTGAGTGCATATTTGGTAGATACCATGAGGGCGTACGACACGAAATCTCTTTGCTGTAAGTTGCGCCCTCTAGCATCGGAGTGCTTGTGTGAGGTCACATGACGTAGATTGTGACAAATCCATTTCAGGTAGAAACTCGCAGTACTCATGCATTTTTCTATTTGGAAATGACATGACAACAGATTAAAAACAATAACAACGCTTTAAAATGGCGTCCTTTCATTGACGTCACGGAAACATGTGCATTTCCCAAATAATTTGCATAATAATTCCATGTAAGTACTAAACCTGACTGGTTGAAAACTATCGTGACAGAAACTAGTAACCATTTTATTTACATCCACCCACCACCAGGTCGGCAATCCTAGTATTGATCACAGTCAATGGAATCGACCAGAAAACATTTCATCAACACGACCATCATACCGAATAGAGGACTCTGGTGCTGACGTTGCAGGTGAAACAGCAGCTGCTTTGGCTGGATGCGCCAAAGTTTTCGAACATTTCGGTAAGTAATAATGAGTCGACAGAGCTGCAATAAAATAGACAATTTACTCGTATTTTTATATGGATATAACTGAGTTCCCCGACTTAAAACCTGACTTGGAAGTATACCACGCCACAATCTGCTTATCCTTCTTGTGACACAACGTGTCGATGGCAATAAATCACATTTTTATTTCAGAAAACTACCATCCTTAATACAAACTCCGCTTTTCTTATTACACAAAAAAACGACATACAAAACGCTATAATTCACGAAACACTGAACGAATTACTTAGCAATAGGCATAAGTAGCTAAATTAGAATCGAAATACAGTGAAAGATTTATGTTATGAATTTGATTCTACCTAGTCCAGAGGACAGACCAATGCGCCCACCTTCAAATGTGACTGTTCGATATAATGCTATATGCTGTCTTTCCTTATTTGTTTGTTTGTAGCTCGAATTACATTACTAATGCCAGACTACAAACACTGACAAACTAAACTGTAATTATTTATTTCGTACTTTTTTTTAGATACAAACTACGCGTCAGAGTGTGAACATAAAGCAAAGTCTCTCTTCATGTTTACACTAAACCATCCAGGACTGTATCCCCCAACTATATATTACAAGTAAGAAGTGACTGTGTTTGTTTTTCTGTAGTTCCTTTTTTAATCATTAGTATGTATAATACTAATGTAGTATGTATAATACCAGTTATTTTATGTATAATACTAATGTAGTGTGAATAATACTCGTTATTTTATGTATAATACTAATGAGGTATGTATAATACTAATGTAGTATGTATAATACTAGTTATTCTATGTATAATACTAATGTAGTATGTATAATACTAATGTAGTATGTATAATACTAATGTAGTATGTATAATACCAGTTATTTTATGTATAATACTAATGTAGTATGTATAATACTAATGTAGTATGTATAATACTAGTTATTTTATGTATAATACTAATGTAGT